GGGGAGACCGAGGCGCCGGGACCTCCCGGGCGCGGGACCTCTGGGCACCCGCGTGGGGAGCCGGGAAGCAGCGCCCGGGATGCGTGACTGGGCGCCGGGCCGGGCCGGGGACTCCGATCTGCTCGCGGCCGGGGGCGCTCGCGCGGGGCTTGTCCTCAGCTCGCCCTGTTGCAGTCTCAGGACCCGGGCCGGCGAGTCGGTGGGCGATCCCGACCAGCCCCGCCGCGCCGCTGCTGCCAGCCATTCCTCCGGGGTGGAGGTGGGGGGGGGCACATAAACGTAAAATATGGTCATCATTGTTCGCTCCTTTTCTTCCCGAGGAATCCCTGCGTGCTGTACCGATTTAACGAGCTGATATGCACACTATGTATAGGGATGACTTCATCCCCAAACGAACGCAGCCAACTCTCGGGGAAACGCAGTCGCCGGGAGACGCGCTCCGCACCGTGCGCAGCGGCGGGAGTGGAAGAAAGGCAGCCAGTGAAACCTCTTTCTCTCGTCATTAGCAGAAAGGGAATTCCAGCCCGGCGTGGGGGATGGGGGATGAGAACCAACGACCGTTTTAAATTTTCCGTCGTTCACGTTATGTGTTAACATCACCTTTTTTAAAAGGTAGCTGTAAAATGCTCGCAAAGCGAACTCTTAAAGCTGATGGAGACGGGACGGCGGAGAGGGGGGGCGGGGGGGGTGTCGTCTAGGGAGCCAGAATGTATAGTTGTGGGAGTTTTTTGGTATCCGAAAGCCAATCAAATAAAAATTTAAAGTGGACAAATTGCAGTCCTCTTGTAGTCCCGAGGAAGGAAGGAACAGTATTTTCAATAAAAAGATGACTAGAACGGGAAAGGTTTGTTTGCTGCTTGATTCGTATTACTGGAGGATCTAACCCAAAATGGAGGCCTTACCCTGACTCTAAGAAATCTAGGCAAAAGTTTGAGTGCTTTATTTTAAGATGGAAGTACAATTCAAATTATAGTTATGACAGTTGAGATCATTTATACATCCAAAAGAAAAGTGAGCAAGTTATAGTCAGACTTGGTCAATGCCTGACTTGTCTATAATAGAACTGTGTGGCCCAGTTTTAACTATAAAAAGCTTCCTAGTTTTAGACTCAATACCAAGTTATTGTCTTTTTGGAACCTGCAGACTCAAACCAACAGTCCTATAGAAGCAGTGACCTGCAGCTATGGCTCAGGAACAGAGTGGCCTCAAGTACTAAAAAGCACAGTGCCTCTGCTTAAACATGGTGTACTTGAAGAACACTAATTTCCACCCACATACCTAATTACAGCTTACCATCACAGAGAGTATTTTATTCAAGGATCTCCAAGCACTGGGGAGAAAACACGCTTGCCAGTCAAATATCCTTGTTGGCATATTACAAGTAGAGACAAGGAAATACAGAACTCAAGAACTGGATGAGTTCATGCAATAGGTGCAATTAAAAATCATAGCTACTAACTCTGAGGTTCATTGTCTTCTCATAAATACTCACTATAATTGATGTAATTAAAAAACATGCACCTCAAATATTATTCTCCAAATTAACCAAAGAACGTTTGCTGTGGAGACTTTTTTTCCCCCTTGGAAAAGTAATAATAAGACATATTGAACCATCTTGGAAAAGTATTAATAAGACATATTCAACCACAAAGAATTCGCACCAATTTGCCTTAGTCCATTCATAGCAATACAGTAAATCCAGCAGAGCTTATGTTTCAGGGAAAAGTCTTACAAAGGGCCAAAAGGGGTGGAGATTTTGCTGTAATGACTCCAACTATCTCCTGCCAGAGACAAGAGGCAAGGATAAAAATTCCTTACAGATGACTCCATAACCTACTTCTCATTTGTGAAAGTTAATCCATCCTGCGCTAAATAAGTGATATATCACATCATCTTTATCCTAACAGCAAATGTTCCAGTGGTATGGGTACCAAATTAAGCAATCCAATTGGAAAATGCTGTTCTTATTTTCTATGTTTATTAAAAATGTACCAGCCAAGAATTTTGGCTGCCTACGACCATTTCCATCTTTTGGGATGGCAGCTCTCCAGCTCACAAGTTGGTCATGCCCTTGCCTTTGGATTTAGTTATTGCGACGGGTGGCCTGACCTCCAAAGTTCTTTCTGTGGAAGGGCAATTTGTTGGCTGTGACAAAATGTTATTGCTTCTTGTTCATATTTGGTTTAACAATCAAAGAAGGCGAAGGGGAAACTTGTGCGAGGAAATCACAGACTAATTCTGGCCGCAAAGGAAATTTTGTGGAATGTGGTACCATATAGAATAAAAGAATTTTAGCGATGAGAGGAATCTTAGGTCCAACCCACTCGTTTTTCAAAAAAGCAAGGCCCAGAGAGATTGAGTAAATTACCCGGAGTCATGCAGTCTCTTTGTGGTAGAACTAGAACCTAAACCCAGGATTTCCAATTATTGGTCCATTGCTCTTTCTATTATTTCATACTACTTTCCCATGGCATAAGTAAGAGTGGATTAAAGCAGTAAAAATTAAAGTTGATTTTCTTCTCATAAATCTTGTTGAATGAGATTGTGTTAGCTTCGTGAATATCACTTGAATTTTTCTCTCATAGAAGTTGCCCAGCCTGAAGCCCAATGCCTGGGCCTCGTGTAGGCATCTGGCTGTTTGAAAGGTGAAGAAATGGATAAATGAATAAGTGAATGAATGACTGCTCCAATCTAAGATGAAAAGGAAACTATATGTCAAAAGCAATAGACTCTCTTCTTAACCTTAAGTATGTGGATCTCAACTTTCCCTCACAGAACAACATCCCAGCTTAATATTCCAGTGGGGGGACCGCTCTAAGTCCTAAGTGTACACAGCCATCGCAAGTTGCCTACAAAGCTGTTAGCAGTGTGCACCCCGGCGTAAGATGAAACAAAACATGCTTATGTTGAAGAGGGTTCTGCTGCAGGGGTGTTGTCAGTCTGGCTCTGAGGGCTCTCTTAGAACATGCCTTGTTTAAATCTGTCTGATGGCATCAGTGTGGGCTTGGCCTCCATTTATGGGCATGAGGAGGATGTATGACTAATGGTACCCAGCAGTCAGAAAATCATTGCTAAGGATTGTAGGCACGGTCTCCCTCATCACCCAAAAAAGGGTTCTCTCTTGAAAAATTAGGAATTACCGAAGGATGAGTGAGGAAGAGAAGACAGTTTGGAGTGAACGTGATTGTACATTTTCCACCTATATGTAACAGTATTGTTTTCTTTGTTGGCAATTAGTGCAATTTTTGTTCATTACCCTGAGAATGGGGAAAAAATAATGTAGAATGTGATAGTCCAGTAGGATTCGAGATATTTTTATTACTCGTCTTCTAGCTTTAGCTGCCCATCTATAATCTGAGTTCTAAAATATTATCAGGAGATATAGGCATTAAAGGAAACTATTTCACTCTCTGCCATTTGCATTGTTCTTCCATTTGTCATGTCTCTCTTTTCTAAATTAAGATTTACCCAGTTAATTTCATTTCCTCTTCCCCAGAGTCTCTTTTTTAGTGCTTACACTGTTTAAATCTTGCAGATGATTTTTAGGAATCTGCTTTAGGGCAGGAATGGTATTGGAGTAACACGAATTGATAGAGGTTATAGTCTATAAAATGCAATGCTTTGTTTCCACACAATTCAGCCATGGCTGCCATTTAAAGAATATGGCAGGTGGACTTTGTTTCTAGATAACAATTAAATACGGTACTTTAGAAATTGGATTGATAAGTAGCACCTCCGTAATCTAATTCTGAACTCCTATCTCTTATAAAATCTAGCTGATAACCTGGGAAGTAAAACAAGGGGTAGCTTTCTTTCTTTCTTTGAATTGATTTACTTGTCCCATTTACTGTAATTAAACTTGAGAATACTAGTCAATTATTTTATGGACATTACGATCAAGTGACAGCTGGCCTCGGAGTAGTTCCTCAAAGGAGATCCGAAGAGTTAATCAAGATTAT